AAAGAATATGGCAATCGGAGTCCCAAAGATTGAGCACCCAAACCAAGTATGTGAAGGGTGCGTTCTTTCCAAACAAACCCGAATTCCTTTCCCGGATCATGCAGTTTTTCGAGCTCAAAAACCTCTACAACTTGTTCATACGGACTTATGTGGTCCGATCACACCTACGTCTGTTGGAGGGAGTAAATATTTTCTCCTTTTAGTAGACGATTTTAGCCGGTGGATGTGGGTTTACATGCTATCGGAGAAGTCTCAAGCCTTGAGCGCTTTCAAACGGTTCAAGTTGATGGTTGAAAAGAATTCGGGTTATCAAATAAAGACACTTCGAACGGACCGAGGGGGAGAGTTCACTTCAAAAGAATTCTCATTATTTTGTGAAGAAAATGGTATTCAAAGGCATCTTACGACACCATATTCGCCTCAACAGAACGGAGTTGTAGAAAGGCGAAATCGGACCGTTATGGACATGGCAAGAAGTCTGCTCAAAGGTAGAAATGTTCCGGGAGAGTTTTGGGGAGAAGCGGTTAGACATGCAGTTTATCTTCTCAACCGTCTGCCAACAAAAGTACTTCCCGACAAGACGCCTTATGAAACGTGGTTTGGCAAAAAGCCCAACCTTGAACATCTAAAAGTTTTTGGTTGTGTTGCTTTTGCTAAACTTGTAGGTGGTCACTTGAAGAAGCTTGATGATCGAAGTAAGAAGATGGTGTATTTAGGTGTGGAAGATGGAACTAAAGGCAACCGTTTGTTTGATCCGCAAGACCGAAAGTTGCGAGTTAGTCGCGATGTTGTTTTTGACGAAAAAGAAGAATGGAATTGGTACAAAAACAAAGAAGAAGAGATGGCGACTCCTAAGACCTTTACCATAATTGAACCACAACCCCAAATACACCTCGAAACACCTCAAAATGACCCCGAAATCAATTCGGAACAACCAAACAGCCCTGGAATCAATGTCATCCAAGTTGGACAACCATATGCTGAATTTGACGAGCCTGAACCAGCTCCACATACTACTGTCTCAGCCCCGCTTTCTTCAACCTCGCCCCATATGGAAAGCCCTTCTAGTGAGATTGGGCCAAGGGGATTGCGTCCGTTAACCGATATTTATTTTGAGACCGAAAATGTGTTCCTTGAACCCGGAGAATTGTTGATGATTGCAGCGGATCAACCCTTGAGTTTTAAAGAGGCGGTAACCTCTAAGGCATGGCAGGAGGCTATGCAAACAGAGTTGGATGCAATCGAGAAGAACAAGACATGGCAACTTACCGATTTGCCATCCGGACACAAAGCAATCGGTTTGAAATGGGTGTTTAAAGTGAAGAAAGACAACTTGGGAAAAGTGGTGAAGCATAAAGCTCGACTTGTAGTAAAAGGATTTGTACAAAAGGAAGGAGTCGACTTTGATGAAGTTTTTGCACCGGTAGCACGACTTGACACCGTAAGGCTCATTCTTGCCTTAGCAGCTCAACATGGGTGGGTTGTCCACCATCTCGATGTCAAATCGGCTTTTCTCAATGGAGATCTCAAAGAGGAGGTTTATGTCACCCAACCAGAAGGTTATGTTGATAGAGCAAACAGTCATAAGGTGTTCAAGCTTCATAAAGCTCTTTATGGTCTACGATAAGCTCCTCGAGCTTGGAACATTCGTTTGGATAAAAGCTTAAAAAGGCTTGGTTTTACAAAAATTTCACAAGACCCAGCTGTTTACAAAAGGAACTCAAAAGACAAAATTCTTATTGTTGGTGTCTATGTTGATGACTTGATCATTACCGGGTCGAACACTAATGATGTTGTCGAATTCAAAGAACAAATGAAGAAAGAATTCGAAATGAATGACTTGGGATTACTTTCTTATTACCTTGGAATCGAAGTTTCGCAAAAGAAGTGGGGAATATCTTTGCGACAAACGGCTTATGCAAAGAAAATTTTAGAGCAATTTGGGTTGCTGGATTGCAATCCGACAACGTCACCAATGGAACCTAAGTTGAAGGTCAAGAAGGATGAAGATGGTGAAAAAGTTGATCCAACTGAATATAGGCGAGTGGTAGGTTGTTTAAGGTACTTGACTCACACTCGACCAGACCTGTCATTTTCGGTTGGAATTGCAAGTCGTTTCATGGAGGAACCAACCACTTTGCATTTCCAAGTTGTGAAACACATCTTGCGATACGTAAAAGGAACCGTTGATTATGGAATCAACTATGGAAGAGGTCGTGAAATTGAAGATTTGGTTGGTTTTACCGATAGTGATCTTGGAGGTGACCCTGTTGATAGCAAGAGCACAAGTGGAATGATTTTCTATCTGGGAAGGAATGCGATAACTTGGCAATCCCAAAAGCAAAAGACTGTTGCTTTGTCCACGTGTGAAGCCGAGTTCATGGCAGCTACAACAGCAGCATGTCAAGCCATTTGGCTTGCTAATCTCGTGAAGGAGCTCACGGGACATCATATTATGCCTATCACCTTATATGTCGATAACAAGTCAGCAATCGCATTGATGAAAAATCCTGTGTTTCATGGTCGAAGCAAACACATTAACATTCGTTATCACTTCATACGAGAATGTGTTGAACGTGGGCAAATTATAGTGGAATATGTCAACTCGAAGGATCAACGGGCGGACATCTTTACAAAGGCTTTAGCATACGTGAAACATGGTGAAATGCGAAACATGATTGGAGTGACGAATCTCGAGCCAAGTTAGGTTTAAGGGGGAAAATGTGAGTGTAAACCTACTTGGGTGTGAACCTGCCATGAGTAGCTGTACCACCCTCTTTTGTTGACAAATGAATGCCTCCTTTGTTGACAATAAGAACTCAAATGGCAACTTCGTATGTTCACATAATGAACACAATAAATGGTAGCAGTAGTAATTGTAGGCTTGTTTAAGTATAAATAGAGGCTCTAACCTCAGTTGTAAGACACCACAAACAGAGAGTGTAGTGTGTAATACTTAGAGTGAGTATTAGAGGGTTGTTTCTTTTTCTTGTAATATTGAGCGTGTAAGCTCTTCTCTTTTGTTCTAGTTCTGAATAAAAGTGTGTTTCAACCCCAACAATAGAAACCCGTGAAGTAGCTCGAGTCTTTACTTGGCACAGGAGTTTTCTTGCGTTGAGTATGATCTTTAAGTTTGTTTTCCCACCAACCAACCTTCACACAAACGTTTTCCTTTGGTGTTTTTAATTTTTCGGTAGTTCATACACCAATTCTTTATCAAACATTTGTTTTGAGGGTAATGTGGTTTACATAGCCTAAACATGCAGACCATTTGTTTTGAGGGTAATGTGGTTTACATAGCCTAAACATGCAGACCATTTCCATGTTGGTTCTTCATATTTACTAAGTACGTAGTATGATTCGATTTGACTAAAAGCAACTTTGTATAAATGATTTTTGGAATATTTTACCTTCATCATCAACTTGTTTATTTTATCATGTATCCACAGGTATAGTCCAAGCATTACGATCCGATTACCATTTTGTGCGATTTATCCCAAGCTAATGATGTTACTACATAACTTTGGTATATAGTATACATTTTGTAGTAGTCAGTTTTAACCAATTTTACAAAGGAATAAAATCGATCCTTTTCGGTCAATTCTCTCCTTTGAACCATCTCGAAACTTTACATAACCTTGGATTGCGTCATTGAGATTTTGAAACATAGTCTTGTTCACCTTTCACATAATTACTTGCGTCGTTATCAAGATACCATACCTTGGAGTTATTTTGCTCTTGTTCTTCTGTTTTAAGCTGTAGGTTCACGTTTTTCTCATTCAAGATCACTTTTTCTATGGTCATGAATTTGTTGATTGCTACCAAGTGTAGGGCTAGTCCGTTGTCAACTTGAGCTTGCACTAAATTAACTACTTGATCTTTTTTTCATGGGTTTTTACATTTTGCGGCGTAATGGCGGAAATCTTGGCAATTGTAACATAGGATTATGCTTCTCTTGATTGTCGTTCGTGGCACGAATGTTCACTCATTACTGGTTATTGCCACCTCTTCCACGACCTTGAGCATCGTAGGAGTTTCTACGGTTGTTCTTGTTTGAAGAGCATGATTGATCTGGACTTTGTTTCTTATTTCTTTTCGTCAATTCTTGGTGGGTAAGGAAGAGTTTCTTTTCTTCGACTTCAACTTGCCCACAGATTCTCTCCAAATGAGCTTTTAGTCTCCTCACAACCTCTTCAACGAACATGGTATCAAGATCATCAAATTGCTCAATGGTTGATGTAATTTGAACAAACTTTGAAGTCATGACTCTTAAGATAAGGTTGACCACGTACGCTTCACTCATGGTATCCCCCAACGCCCGGATGTGTTGCTCACAGTGTTTTTGATTTTTGCTAAGAAGTCATCAACCATCTCGGGTTCTTTCATGCTAAGAGTCTCAAATTCAACATTTTCTTATTGTACCTTTGCTGTTCGAACTCGATCTATATATATATATATATATATATATATATATATATATATATATATATATATATATATATAGTCTTCAGGGTTTCCCACACTTCTTCTGCATATTGCTTCTCCGTTATCATCAAAACGATTTCTTCCGGGATGGCTTGGTAATTCGCTGCCTCTTGACACCAATCGGGTTCTTGGGATTAGTAGGTTCAATCACATCCCAAACATCCTGTGTTTGCATAAACATCTTCACCTTAATCACCCATGCAACGTAGTTGGTTCTGGTCAAGACGAGATAGTGCATCTTCGGTGTAAGTGACTAGAACCTTTGGCTGAATGAGAAAACATTAAACATCTATCCTATAAATATTAAACAGATTGGAATCCTTTTCTAACACAAAATCTTATTTAAATGGCAAGTTTTCTATTTTACCCCTGGAACTTAAAAATCCCAGTTTTTCTGGATAGTACAAAAAATTTATAATTTTCACAATTTTTTATAATGTGCAAAAACGAGAACAATGTGCAATTTATTGATTTGTTATAATGATATACCATTTCTGTGTTCCTTTAATTCTCAGAATATCAGATTGACTAACTGCAAGAATGCAGTGGTGAAAGACTTAACATCCACCAATAGCAAATTCTTCCACATGAATATATTGGGTTGTGACAATAGTAACCTTGACCATGTTACCATTAATGCACCTGGAACAAGTCTCAACACGGATGGAATTCACATCGGGAGATTAAATGGGCTCAACATCACAAACACAAACATAAAAACAGGAGATGATTGCATTTCGTTTGGAGATGGAAGCAAGAACGTCCATATCGAGAAAGTGACATGCGGACCAGGACATGGCATCAGTATCGGAAGCCTCGGTAGATACCCAGGCGAACTACCTGTACAAGGAATCTGGATCAAAAACTGCACCATCACCGGCACTGACAATGGAGTCAGGATCAAGTCCTGGCCAGCTGGCACACCAGGTAGCGCCACTGACATGCATTTTGAAGATATAATCATGCAAAAAGTGGGAAATCCAATACTGGTCGATCAAGAATATTGTCCTTCTGGGAAATGCCAGGTATCTAACATATATTGCCACAAACTTGGTCACTTTCTTTAGTTATATTCACATTAAGGGTTGAACATATTCTTCGTTTATGACTACTAGAAAGGACCCTCAAAAACCAAGTTGTCAAATGTGAGCTTTAGGAAGATCAAGGGATCATCAACAACTAAGGTAGCAGTGAAGCTTGTTTGCAGCCCAGGAACATGCGACACTTTTGAGATTGCTGACATCAATTTGCAAGGACCTGGAGGACCTGCCACCTCTGAGTGTAAAAACATCAAGCCTAAAGTTGTTGGTCAAGTGGTACCCCCGGCTTGTCCTTGAGTATTTGTGGAATTGTTATAGGAAATAAGAGGATCGAATCATTCGCGAACTACATGGAAAGGAGTATACCTGTTTGAAGATATAGCATCGTGCTTGAAAATTCCCTGCGCGATATTTGTTTTGTTGATTTTTATTATGGATTAAATTGGTAACTAAAAAGATTGTGGGGTGCATTAATTAGTAATTATATACGTTGGAAGTATATTGATATGTTTTATGAATATATTTCTTAATTGCTTAATCAGTATGTCACATGATGGAGATGTCTGAAAATGGGTTTGGAAAATGTTTTGATGGTAAGTTTTGAAAATAATAGGACCAAGTCCAATGGTCCATTAAAATACATCATTTTAACGTGTGAGATACACTCAAACACCAAATATTAAGGCGAAAATGTTTGACCTCTAAAATACACTATTTTAGGGCATAATTACACCATTTTAATGTTTAAAACTCATGTTTTACCATTGGAGTTGGTCTAATGTGATATGAATACAAAAATCAAAATCCAATACACTTTCTCGACACTTCTTTCGGATAGGCATCAAATCAACCAAATCCAACCCATAACATTGGACCGCAGTGGATCTATAAAATAACCAGTATTGTGAAACATATTTGATTATCAATATTTATACCCTTATTATAATAAAATAGAAAAGTATGAATACATATAATATGATTCCTTGAAAATTGCAAGAACAACATCACTAGAGGATCACTACAAAAAAAATCCAATTAGTGACTAAAACAAAATGGTAACTAACAATAAGAGTCATCACTAAATGATTTAGTGCCCAGAGTATTGGTTGTCACTTTTCGTCACTATAGGTCCGTCACAAAAACTTATTAGTGATCAATTTTATAAATATAGTCACTAAATAGTGACTACGTTATATTGGTCACTAAATTTGTGACGACCCGTCTCGTTACCATAAAAATTCATCACTATTTCTCTAATTAGTGACCATAAAAAGTCGTCACTGATTTATTCTGTTAGTGACCATTAAAAATCCTCATTGATTTACCCAATTAGTGGCCATAAAAAGTCGTTACTTTTTTTCGATTAGTGACCATAAAAAGTCTTCACTAATTTTGGTTGGTATATCTAGTATTTAACCCATTTAAGTGACCAGCCTGTACCATAGTCAATGGTAAGATATACTATGATCCATTTATAAAAATATATCTTGTAAAATGATAAACATGAGTTATTACCAAATTTAAACGATCCAAAACACGATCCAAAAGGTATGAATATTGTAAACAGATGGGTGACGACAACAACATAGGTGAGAGCTCAATTGTTACACCAAAAACACAATCCAAAAGATATATCTATTTATTTTTCCCCTTGGTTTGATTCATTCATAAAAAAAATTAGATGAGGATTTATTTAGAATATTTCCAAATAGAAATCCAGATCCAAATATCATTCCAATTCCAGTTGTCAAATCTCATGTTCCAAAAAAAACTAACATTTGAAAATTCAGAAATTCCTTCCTTTGATCTTCAAATAACCCAACTAATGAAGGTGATAACTTTGAGGGTAATGATGAAGATAGAGAGTTACAAGGAATGAAGAATAGATTTTAGATGAGAAAGGGAAAAAGGGTTTGAATGTGGATGAAAGAGGGAAAATGAAGGTGACTAATCCATATATTTTTAGATCACCTTTCGTTAATAGGGTAATTGACTTAAGTGAAGAAGTCAGTACTTGGCAAGAGATAATGGCTCAAATTATGTTTAGATGCGCTAGAGACAAAGATCCAATGTAAGTAAATTCATAATGTTTAGTAAAAAATCTTTATTATATATGCATATTCTTGAAGGAATATTTCTATAAATTTGAGTATTGTGTAATATTCTTATTGGAATATTGTAATACTATTCAAAAGAATTATCATTCTAATAAATTTACATTAGTTTTAGTTAAATAATATATTTTAACTAAAATGGAATATTTTTTTTTGAAGGGAAATGTTGTTTGAAACTGAGTCTGGAGACATAATGGATAGGGTGTATTTTGAGGGTATGTGTCCAAATCATAAGATACATCCTTTCGTTATTGATTGTTGGGCTGCTGTTCTTAAATTTGAAGAAGAAAACGTGAGAAACAAAAAATCATCACCATGCGTCTTCTTCAACACTCAAATTATGGTACTTAATTGTTAAATTTATTTTCTATATTCTAATTATAATTTATTCCAATGTATTCTAATATTTCTATTGTTCTATATGTACAAACAGAAAAATTATTGGATTCTTCAATACCTTTTGTCGAAAGATTCCGACTTTTTGATGAGGCTGTGAACAATTACTTATATGACATCAAAAGAAAAGTGGACCAGAATATTTGTTTTAGAATATTTTTAATTAAGTAATTTTATTTTAGAATTAAAATAATATCGAAAATTTGTTTTAGAATATATGTAATTAAGTAATTTTATTTTAGAATTAAAATATATTTGGACCAGAGTGTAAGTTTTTAAATTAAAAGGGACTAAAAATACTAGGACTTATTTGCGAGGGACGAAAAAGGGACAAATGTAATAACTTTGAGATTACGACTTACTCATGAGGGAAGAACATCAAAATAAAAAAACTCTCTTTCTTCATCGCTATTCTGAAAGCCTCTTCCAGACTTCTTATCATCTTCGGTTTTAACTCATCAAACACTCCATAAATACCCTAACTTCTTGTGATTTTGAACTCATCTCTTCGATTTCTCCTTGGATCGATTTCATTTTTCGATGTCGTGAATCCGATTTTCACTTGAAAACATCGATAAAAATCCTAAAAACATTTTCATATCGATTTTAAACTTTTTGATTCATATTCTGCTCTTTAATCCCTCGATAAAACCCTAAACTTACTTACTTTGATTCTTATCGAATATTTCTCTCAAAGAAAATGGCTACATTAACACGTGCTTCAAAATCTACACCATCAGATCATCTAAATGACATTATTACCAAAACTTCTAAAGAAACTCTAGCTATTTCGATAGTTCTATTAATTATCATTATATATTCTTCTTGGATGAAGTTCCAGAATGAACTAGAATATAATTTCAGAAATTCTAGTCAAAGTATTCTGATGAGTTAGAATATGATGAGTTAGAATATAATTTCGAAATAAATGTAAGTGTTTTTCTATTACATGCAACAATTAAAGTGTAGTATCAATATAGATAGTAGGGTAGACATAGTACAATATGTTGCTATTTACTATAATTTGCCCTAAATAAAACATTATTGGTGATCTAAATTATGATAATCAATTCAGTTATATGACAAATAATTAACTTTAACATGATATTCGGGAAAGGATTCCCAAATCCAATCATGCATTTTTTATTTTTCTAAACTGAACAAATAACATATAAAGGAAAAATGATGATCAATTGAAGAATGAAGAAACTACTTTTGGATTGTTACACTTTAAACTTGTCCCTTACATTTTTAAGCTCAATCTTTGGCTTTATAGTTTATAATTCTAACATTATGCAGATGTTTGTATTAACACTGATTATTTTCATGTAGCTAATATTATAACAAGAATGACAAAAGCAAAAAATAAAAATGATAACAATAGGTAGAAGTAATGAAGTTGAAACTTCAATAGGCAAACGGTGGGTTCAAAAAAGAAAATCATCGAAGTCTATCGATGAATCAACAGCTACAACATCAAAAGAAAAATAAGAAAAAAAGGTACATCATCAGTTACTTTTTCAATAAGAATAAATGTTATATTGTGTATTCTATGTATTATAATAAAGTATTAATCTCATTTGTTTCTGTTATTCAATGTATTATAATAAAATATTTTATATTCTGTTAATGTTTTATTCTATTAATCTTATTCTAATAGAATATTTTTAAATATTAATCTAATTTGTTTCCTTATTCTAATAGAATATTTTTAAATGTTATTCTAGATATGTGGATATGATAAATCATTTATTACTTCATAAATTGATTCTGAAAATGACAATAAACAGCAAGAAGGCCGAATATGGGTAAAACTCATGAAAAAACATCAATAGGCGAACGACTAATTGAAGAAGAAAATCATTGAAGCTTATTGATGAATCAGCCGATACAACAGCAAAAGCCAAAGAAAAAAAAGGTATATCATCAATTATTGTTTTTATACTATAATAGCTTGTGTATTAATGTTATTCTAATAGCAAGAATGCCATATATATATATATATATATATATATATATATATATATATATATATATATATATATATATATATATATATATATATATATATATAGGTAAAATTCATATATGTTATTATTGATTATGCATTTACAATTAGAGTTAGTAGAAACATTTTACATAGTTTTATTTAATTGGAAATTTTGTGTTGACTAATATTAAAAGTTCATACTTTGTTAGAATCTGATATGTTCTAATCCTTTTAGTTGGTTTCTCAAAGTTTTTTGCCAATAAAATAATTACAGTTTGGTGTTTGACTTTGACTTCTGCCATTAATTATAGAATGTTGTTGGCTTTTCTAAAGTTATCAAAGTTGGTTGTCATTTATGGCATTTTGGTGTTTGACTTTGACTTTTGCCATTAATTATATGGATGTATCAACATTCATTGGCTTCTGAAACATAGTAGACATATTCATATAGATGTTCTTCTAATAGAATATTCTGAAGTGTTAATCTTATATTTTATTTTTATGATGTTATTATCTTTTTTTTGATATTATTTATTCTGAAAATCCATTGAACAATAGGGAAACAAAAGGTTCTTTTTGAAGATGAAAAAAATAAAAAAAGGAAGATGAAGAGTACAAATGAGAACATCGACAAAAAGAAACAAAAAACAACGAAAGATATATTAAAAGATCTGCCTTCAATCAATACTCGAATGAATCTCGGAGCTATGCTTGAAGGTATAAGAAGTTTGAGTTTGTCTCAAAAGAAATGTGTAAAGAAGATGGGTTTGGATACCTTTTGGAGTTGAGCATGAAGACAATTCCATTGAAGCTTGCACATTTTGTTGTTCAACATTATGATCATCAAAAGAACAGTATTGTGCTTGATAAAAAAAAATAAGATCACAAAAGAAAAGTTTCATAAAGTGTTTGGTCTACCAAATGGAGGAAGAAGCTTGTTTGATTTTCATTTTGTTAACAATGAGAATGAAACGTATATTACATGGAAAAGCCAGTTTACAAAAGAAACCATGAATGCCACTAGGTTCAAAGAAGCCATTCTAAAATCCAAAAGAGATGATGATATCTTCAAGCTAAATTTATTTCTTTGTTTGTGAATACGTTTGATGAATCACATTATTATGGGACGTGCAACATAGATCCTGTTAGAAGAGTAGTTGGAGTTGAAGACATCTCATGCACTGATTGGTGTCCGTACTTAAATTATTGTCTGAAGAGTAAAAGATCTCTATGGCATCAAGATAAAAAGAAATGTTATTATAATGGTCCAGTGTTGTTATTGATGGTATCCTTTTTTGTTTAATTATTTTAATTATTTTTTATTTATGAATATCTAATATAATTTACAAACTAATATCATGCAACTACTTTACTTTGACGGTCTTGAATGTCAACGTTTAATCATAAAGTCAAAAATTTCAACAATAACAATGTGGTCAACAGAGGATTTGAGTAACAGACAACCTTTTGAAATTGAAGATGGTGGGTTTGGATGTGGAAAAGTTGTTATGACACAAATGACGAGAGATATCGAGAGACCATCTAATGTGAAAGATAATCTTTATGCAACTACTGAGGTAACTTTAACTAAAATATAAAATATAGTTTCTTTTTGTATTAGGTTAAAGTATGATGTTATAAAAAATTCTAGATATTCTTTTATTACAGCTTATGGTTCATAGTAAATATTCTAGCTATTCTGAGATGATAAATTATTACATGCTTATAATTCTAGTATTTTGTTATTTTTCAGGAATATAAAGAGAATTTTGATAAGATGTTCAATAAAGTTTCAGCCAGAAAGGAGGACATCTATTGAATTGTTTCTGACTGTATATCAAAGTTCCCAGATGTCAATATAACAAATGAATTGAAAAAAAAAGTTCATTAAGTTATTTCTAGATCCTATTTTTTCAAGTGCTGATAATCAAAACAATGAAACCAAGAAAAAAGGATCACATGAAAGGGTTGAATCTCAAAATGGTGACATGGGGGAGAAGGATATAAGTTCTTACAAATCACCATATATGGATAAAGTTGTGAATTTATTTGAGAGAATCGATTTGCAGAATGTTCTTTGGTTCAGGTTCTAATAAGATGTGCACAGGATAAAAACTAAATGTAAGTCACTAACTCATTCTATTTCAATTCAAAATGTATTTTTTTGGATTATTGTTTAACTATAATACATGTGGATATTTATTCTAATGTTGATGAAATATTTTTGATTCGTGTTTAAAATTAAAAGACGTACTTTTTGAAATAAGTACGGTAGAGATTATGCATAGATAGGATTTTGAGAGCATGCGGCCAGCACATGTTAATCATCATAGTGTGATTCATTATTGGGCTGTTGTTCTAAATTACGAGGAACAAAAGTCAAAAAGTAAACCATACCGTCTGTTCTTCAATACTAATATTATGGTAAATTCTATTACAACTAGAACTTTTATATTTTAGTTATAAATTATAACAAGATATTCTAATTTTTTTTTTCTATGTTTATAGAGTTCTGAGTTATTAGGTTAAACTAAATCTTTTGACAAACGTTTTTTAACTTTTGAGACTCGTGATGATAAGTTTCTATCTAATTTCAAGGGAGATGTAGATTTCAATGATCATAAACTTGTAAGAATATTTTATTAATTAAAATATTACATTATAAAAGGATAAGAATTATGTTAACTTTTTGATCAATTTGTTAGAATTACAGGTGGTTTTTCCAATACATAATTGTGATCAGATGTATGCTGTTGTTTTCAACCTAACATATCCACAAGTTCATATTATAGACAACATAAAAATAAAACCGTTAGAAGAAACGCATGGAATGACACCTACATTATTAGTAAGTTTCATTTACTTTTATTAAATGTATTAAAGTTACAATATAATAGATTGAATGATGTAATTTTGTTAATATACATTGCATAAATTGTACTTTATATGATATCCGGAGAAAACTACATCTACTGTCAATAAAATCAAAAGGTTTGTGATCAACAACAATGAAGATGATATAAATTGACTGGAACACAAAGAAGTTGACAACAGAGAATGGAGTACTTTTAATGAGACACGTGGAAAAATATTGTGCAGAAAAGCAAGGAAAGTGGAATGTGGAAATGCAAAAAGGCAGTGATGTGCAAGATATGGAATTTGTAAAATTATGTGCCTTATACTCTATTAATATTGTCACACATGAAATCAACAACCACAATGAGAGAGTTATCAAAGAGGTAATCAAATTTGGAAAATTAGATCATACGACTAGAAAAAAGATGTTACATGAAGGTATCAATAGAATGGATGAATTGGAAATGGGTAATAAATAGAATTTGTTAGAAATTTGGAATTTTATAAATGGGGTTATGGTGACTTAAGAACAATTCCTTTTGTAATATTTATCTTATTTTGAACAAATTACACAAAAAAATGATGCCTAGTATTATGTAAGAAACTTGATATGATTTATTAGGTGATTAATGCTTAATGTATATTTAGTATTATGATCACTTCTTAATGGTTATGGTAGAATATTCTATAGTAAAAATAATTTTTTTAGAATATTGTAATAGAATCATGTTAAAGGCGTCATTATTCTATTAGAATAATATTAGATGTTTCATGTACCTATATAATATTCTTACATGTATAATCTTGTATTATAATAATTTGATAACAAAACATTATACTGCAATTATCATACAAAAGACTATTCGTATATACTTCAATGCAAAAATTGAAGATTGAAATATTAGAAGAATCAATATGTTCTCAAATGTATCACACATCATCACAAACCAAATGTCTCATACACCATCACAAACCAAAACATCTGAAAAAGTCCAAACTAAAGAAATTCAATCATTTTTCTAGATTGTATTATTGAACTTTATTCAAATACGAAAAAAAAATCGAAATATATTTCTAGACACAACTACGCACTCTGTATCTTAGAGTTATTCAGCAATGTCAAGCATTTCCTTGAATTAGGGCCTTTAACCCCATATGTTTTGCATGATCTTGATTTCATGTTACCTTGAATTGTAGCCTTGTCCAAAGCACTTTTTAAATGTTTTCCTATACCAAAACCTTTATTCTTCACCATAGGTGGATTTTCAACATCAACAACTTCAGGATTCGTAGTAGCTCCGTAAAGTTTATCAATATGAGCTTGTTTTGTAACAGTTGATTTGTATGAACCTTGTTAAACAATATCAGTCATAAAAACTTCTGGTTTTTGCATGAACTCTTCTAACTTCTTGTCATCATTACTTAATGAAGACAAGCATTGATCAAGTATGGAAAAAGATTTGTATGCAACATTCTCAACATTTCTAGACGAATCACCATATCTAAACATCCTTTTCAAAACTGTGGTGGGGATAATATCTCTTCTCCATCTCTTATGAATGTATCTTGACGGAATCTTTTGTATGTCATAAATCTTTTGAATACATAATATGTGTCTACAAAAAATTCCAAATCGCTCAAAAAGCATGCATGAACATTTCAGCGTTAGATCTTCTCTATTGAATTCAACCCGTTTCAAAAGTATTAGGATATTAAGTATATTCGAAAAAAAATTAGAATAGTTTTCAAAAGTATTAGAATATTAAGTATATTCTAAAAAGAAAAATTAGAATAATAATAATAAATTTTAAAGACAATAATTTAGTAATCAAACTTATAATATTAGAATTATAAAATGTCAACATTACCTCGAAATCACCTTCACTTGTGTTAAAATTCCATTCACAATCGATGTCAACTTTTTTTTTTCAGCTAGTATCTTCTTCATTGATAGATTTGTCTTTTTATGTTTGACAATGCATATGTTAGAAACAACACCTAAAGTAACACTCATATGTGAACAAGAAATAAGTGAATGAAGAATCTCCCTCTGCACCATGAGAAAAATATTCCTGGTGTATACCATAGATGCATGTTTCTCCATATCTTCAAGAGGTGTTTTGATTATTGGAATTATAGTAGATGTATCAAAATCGAATTTGATCTAAGTATTCCTTTGCCTTTCCATAACAGACTCAAAAGCATTCATGAAATTGTTTAAAGTATAACCATGATGTAGTGAATGTTGAAATCTCACTTTCCGACCGAGAAGTTGTTCTCATTAGACCCGACATCGGTACATCTTTGCAATAGGTGTAACGCCCTGTTCCGAATGATTCCTAATTCGAGGTTGCGGCCTGAAGAGCGCTCATCATAAGGATTAGGGTCTTTAAGAAGGTAAGCTTTAGGCCCATTTGGATGTGGGTAATGTAGATATGTGACCCAATAGTTTGGTTTGAAGTTTGGAGTCAAAGGGTTAAATGGGAATGTAGTGTTTCAGACTTCTTTTATGAATTATGGATTTTATTTCGATGTGTTTTAAGTCAAAAGTAATTAGACAGGGTTGTAGAGCTCCTCAATACCTTTCCGTAGATATAAAGAATGTCGAAAACGGAGTTAGAATGAAGAAGTTATGACCGTTTGAAGTTTGGGTGGTTTTGGGCCAAGCTGAGTACGTTGGGCGTACAAAAAGGTGTACGATGGGCATACTAATGGAATACTGAGTACGTTGGGCATACCAGGAGTACATTGGGCATACGCAATAAGTGCCCAAACCCTATTTTCGTGGTTTAAGCCATATTTAAGCTCCTTAACTCCCCAAACCCACTCCATTCTCAGCCTCCACCCCTCCAACACCCCTTTCATGAAACCCTAACCTTAGATGAGCCTTGTGAGCTAAAAGAAGGTGATTTTCAGTGCTTTGTAGTATGCATGATGCACCATAGAGAATAAGGAACTTCTTTTAGAAGTGTTGGTTGCATTCGAGCTTGTAGATCTGAACTTTGTTCACCTTGATCTATCTTCTAGGGGTATAAAGTTTAAATCTGTTGGATTAGATGTCTAAGCTCATAACTATTATTGGTATGTACTCGACCCGAGAGTAGCATGATCCATTTGGGTTGCATAACACCAGGACAATTTGTTAGGATGGACTCTTGAGAAAAGGTTATATATGATTTATTAATATATATTATAAGTTCTAATATATTAATATGAAATTATATGTTTTAATTAGTATTGATCAAGAATTAATTTGGAATTAACTTAGTGCTCAAAATAGAGTAATTAAATCTATGGGGACTAATTATGGTAATTAGTTATATTTATATGTGTTGGGCTTATGATCCATGTTGGACTAAGTTTATGTATGGGTACATAAAGAGTTGGGCCACATGAACCATGGATCATAAAACCCATGGGTATGGATTTGGGTTATACCCATGACTCTTGGAATCCTACATATAAATACATACTCCATAGCCTAAAAAACACCACTTGTGATACTTCTAGTTCTTGGAGTTCATGGAGGTTTTTTGGTGCATGGAAATTCTCTCTCAAGAGTTTGTCCTAGGTGAGTTGTGATTCCATTTTAGGTGCAACACTTGGGGCACTAAGTTCTTAAAGGCCAAAGTCTTCCTAGCATCATCAACAACATCAAGAGGTATGTCTAAAACTTGTCTTATTATACATATGTTATTTGTATGCTAGTTGTAGGCTTAAATCTTTGGAAACCATATGCATGTATATACTAGAGAAAACATAGATCCAAAGCTTTTAGGGTTGTCTGTGCACCATAGGATGTTGTAGTATACAAAACCCAACAGAGTCTTGATGATGCATTTTTCAGATCTAGCTAGTTTTGGATGTTATGAGCTTTTGGTCATTTTAGTGCGTAAAGTTTAGATCTTAAAAAGTGTGTGACCTTGTTATGGATAAATATGGAAACTTTATCCATCTAAACAT